AAGATCAATGTGTTGGGAGGTAATGTGTATTACATGAATGACTAGAGGCGCCAGCAACTGCTCTCACCTCTGACCTTACACCCGTTCCAATGACCTTTTCTTTGTTGCGGAGAGCCTATAGTGACCTCTGATCACCGGCCCATGAGGACAATATCAAACAGGAGCCGGGTCACTGTGTGTTGATGTACCGCCTCAATACTGTTTTATTATCCAGTTCCACTTAAATGGATTTATATTTTTCAGTAATACTGTTTCGAAAAACGAGCACACGCATACACACACGCGCGCGCGCACACACACACACAACCTAAGCAATAGGAAGCAGAGAGTTACAGTGAGGGGTGAGACCTCAGATTGGCGTGAAGTCACCAGTGGAGTCCCACACCACAGGGCTAGGTACTCGGTCCTATCTTGTTTCTGATATACGTAAATGATCTCCCAGAGGGTATAGACTCATTCCTCTCAATGTTTGCTGACGACGCCAAAATTATGAGAAGGATTAAGACAGAGGAGGATTGCTTGAGGCTTCAAGACCTGGACAAGCTGCTGGAATGGTCGAACAAATGGTTGTTAGAGTTGAACCCAGGCAAATGTAATGTAATGAAGATAGAAGTAGGAAGCAGGAGACCAGATACAAGGTATCATTTGGGAGATGAAATACTTCAAGAGTCAGAGAGAAAGACCTGGGGGTTGATATCACGCCAGACCTGTCCCCTGAAGCTCATATCAAGAGGATAACATCAGCGGCATATGCCAGGTTGACTAACATAAGAACGGTCTTTAGAAACTTGTGTAAGGAATCTTTCAGAACCTTGTATACAACATATGTCAGACCAATCCTGGAGTATGCGGCTCCAGCATGGAGTTCATATCTAGTCAAGCATAAGACTAAACTGGAAAAGGTTCAAAGGTTTGCCACCATACTAGTACCCGAGCTGAGAGGCATGAGCTACGAGGAGAGACTACGGGAATAAAACCTCACGTCACTGGGAGACAGAAGAGTTAGGGGGGACATGATCACCACATTCGAAACTCTCAGAGGAATTGATAGGGTAGATAAAGACAGACTATTTAACACAAGGAGCACACGCACTAGAGGACACAGGTGGAAGCTGAGTACCCAAATGAGCCACAGAGACATTAGAAAGAACTTTTTTCAGAGTCAGAGTAGTAGACAAATGGAATGCATTAGGAAGTGATGTGATGGAGGCTGACTCCATACACAGTTTCAAGTGTAGATATGATAGAGTCCAGTAGCCTCAGGAACCTGTACATTAGTTGATTGACGGTTGAGTGGCGGAAGCAAAGAGCCAGAGCTCAACCCCCGCAAGCACAACTAGGTGAGTACAACTAGGTAAATACAGTGCCAGAGAGATTAGGGTGACTGTTGTATAATGTCTGTCAATATTACGGGAATTTCTAATTTGCCTCGTCTGTTTGATATTGTATGGGAGTATTCACCTAGTTGTACTCACCTGGTTGTGGTTGCGGGGATTGAGCTCTGGCTCTTTGGGCCCATCTCTCAACTATCAATCAACTGATTCCCCCCCCCCCACCCACCCCCCCACCCCCACACACACACAGGAAGCAGCTGTCTAACTCCCAGGTATCAATTTACTACTAGGACAACAGAGGCATCAGGATGAAAGAAACCCAAGCGTGTGTCAGTGCTTGCGTGCGTGTGTCAATGCTTGTGTGCGTGTGTCAGTGCTTGCGTGCGTGTGCCAATGCTTGTGTGCGTGTGTCATTGCTCTTGCGTGCGTGTGTCAAAGCTTGCGTGCGTGTGTCAGTGCTTGTGTGCGTATGTCAAAGCTTGTGTGCGTGAGTCAATGTTCGTGCGTGTCAATGCTTGCGTGCATGTGTCAATGCCTGTGTTCTTTAGACAAATGTCGAAAAGCAGTTCTGACGTTAGCCAGCCTCGCACACGCCGCCGATGATATTCTCTTGATGTTGGCTTCAAGAGACAGGTTCGGTATGATTAAATCCCTAGATGCTTCTCTCTGTCTGCATGCCTGGCTGTGCCAGTGTGAGTGCATGCATGTGTGTGCGTTGGTGCGAGAACGACTGATGCGTGCGTTCGTGAATGTGTGTTCGAAATATGTGTGTGTGTGTGTGTGTGTGTGTGTGTGTGTGTGTGTGTGTGTGTGTGTGTGTGTGTGTGTGTGTGTGTGTGTGTGTGTGTGTGAGTGTGTGTGTGTGTGTGTGTGTGTGTGTGTGTGTGTGTGTGTGTGTGTGTGTGTGTGTGTGTGTGTGTGTGTGTGTGTGTGTGTGTGTGTGTGTGTGTGTGTGTGTGTGTGTGTGTGTGAGTGTGTGTGTGTGTGTGTGTGTGTGTGTGTGTGTGTGTGTGTGTGTATAGGTTCAAGTCTCTAAGTCTTTTCTCCTTATTTCTTCCCGTCTATATGTTTGTTCATCTTTCTGAAATGTCTGTCTGTCTGTCTGTCTGTCTGTCTGTCTGTCTGTCTGTCTGTCTGTCTGTCTGTCGGTCTATGTGTCTGTCCAT